AATATGCTTCTTAGTTTTGAGCCCTCCCACCCTATGGAAAAGACCTTTGCTATTCACCTTATTTATGCCCCTCCTGATTTTATAATCCTGTATGAGGTCACCACTCACCCTCCTACACTCCTATGAAAGAAGTCCCAGCCTATCCAGTCTCTCCTTATAACTCACATACTGTACATCCTTAGCATGACATCCCAACTCCTATACTGAATGGTCTGAGTAATGAAGGCAAGCATGCTAAATGCTTTCTAAACTACCCTGTCTACCTGTGATGCAACTTTCAAAAAACTATGTACCTGAATCCCTAGATCTCTCTGTTTGCCGACACTAACCAGGGCTCTATTATTAACTGTATAAGTCCTGCCCTTAAACAAAAATGGAAATTGCTGGAAAAGCTCAGCAGGCCTGGTAGCACGTGTGGAGAGAAATCAGAGTTAACATTTCAATTCGAATGACCCTTCCTCAGAACTGCCTCTGTTTGTTTTACCAAAATGCAAAACTTATTTATCCAATTTTTATATTTAACCATTTAAAAAAAATTCATTCATGGGATGTGGGCATCTGTGGCTGGACCAGCATTTATTGCCCATCCCTAATTGCCCAGAGGGCAGTTAAGAGTCAACCACATTGCTGTGGGTCTGGAGTCACATTTAGGCCAGACCAGGTAGGGATGGCAGTTTCCTTCCCTAAAGGACATTAGTGAACCAGATGGGTTTTTCTCCTGACAATTGACAATGGTTTCAAGGTCATCATTAAACTTAATTCCAGATTATTATTGAATTCAAATTCCACCATCCACCTTAGAGGGATTTGAACGCAGGTCCCCAGAACATCACCTGGGTCTCTGGATTAATAATCTGGAGATAATACCACAAGGCCATCACCTACCCATACCACTAGGCCATTGCCTACTAAATTAAACTCCATCTGCCACTCTGCAGCGCACCAGCCCAACTGATCAAGATCTCCCTGCAATCCTAAGTAACCTTCTACAAGATTACAAAGAGATCCCAACCAACTGGTCCAATGGGCTGAGGAGCAGCAGATGGAGCCCAAACTGGACAAACTGTCCACTATACCACTAATTTTGGTGTCATCCATAAACATACTAACTATGCCTCCTAAATTCTCATCCAAATAATTTATATAAATGACAAACATCAGTGAGCTGAGCAACAATCCCTGTGGAACACGACTGGTCACAGGTCTCCAGTCCAAAAAACTACCCTCCACACCCATCCCATGTCTGCAATTGCTGAGCCAATTTTGTATCCAACTGGCAAGCCTTCCCTGAATCCCATGTGACCTTTACTAATCAGTCAGTCATTTGGAACGTCATCAAGGGCTCTACTAAAATTCATGTGGACCAAGTCTACCACTCTGCCATCAATCTTTTTGGTCACGTCCTCAAAAAAGCTCAATCAAATTTGCGACACGTGTTTCAGTTAGGAGAAATAGGCTATTGAGCTTCTTAAGCTTGCTCCACCTTTCGGTAAAATCATGGTTGATCTGATTGTAACCTCAAATCCACATTATCACCTACCTCAATAATATTTCAACCTTTTGCTTACCATGAGTTGTTCTACCACTTCCTTGAAAACATTCAAGGACTTTGCTTCCAACACTTTTCAGGGGAAAAAGTTTCAAAGACTCAACTCTCAAAACAAATGGGCTATCCCCAATTTTTAAAAACAGTGACCATTAGTTCTAGATTATCCCAGAAAAGGAAAACATGGAGCATTTGAATCAGCCTGGATAGATCTGGCTGGAAGGGTTGAATGGCCTCCCCGTTCCTAATTCGTGTGTTTGCAAGTGTTGTAGCTTCACAGGGCTATAAGTAAAGTCATGTAGACACTATCTACTGTCCTACCCTCATCAATCGTCTTCATCACTTCCTCCAAAAACTCAATTACGATACAAGACCTCCCCCACATAAAACCATGCTGACTATCCTTAATAAGTCCATTCTTTTCCAAATGCAAGTACATCCTATCCCCAAGAATCTTCTCCAATAATTTCCTTACCACTGATATGAGGCTCACTGGTCTATAATTCCCTGGATTTCCCCATTGCCCTCCTTAAACAAAGGGGCAACATTGACTATTCTCCAGTCTCTAGAGGATAAAGAGGATACAAAGATCTCTGTTAAGGCCCTCATAATCTCCTCTCCTGCTTACTCCATGTCCAGGGATAGATCCCATCACCACCTCTGCTTCAGTATCAACATGCCCCAGAATATCAACATACCCATCCCTTATCTTACCATCATCCATGTCCTTCTCCTTGTTGAATACTGATGCAAAGTACACGTTAAGGTCCTCACCCACTTCCTCTGGCTCCATGAATAAATTCCCTCCTTTGTCCTTGAGTGGACCTATCATTTTCCCTAGTTGTCCTCTTGCTCTTATAAATATATATGTAGTATATATATATAAAATACCTTGGGAATCTCCTTAATCCTACTTACCAAGGACATTTCATGGCATCCTCTGGCCCTCTTTATTTGTTTCAGTTCATTTCTGCTTCCTTGATATTCCTCAAGGGTCTTGTTTGATTTGAGTTTCCTAAACCTTACACATGCTCCCTTTTTCCTTTTGACTAAACTTTCAATATATCTCTTGTCATCCAAGGTTCTCAAAACTTGCCATCCTTATCTTTCATCCTCACAGTATCATGCTGGTCCTGAACGATGATCAACTAAAAGGGGTTCCCACATGTTAGATGTGGATTTACCCTCAAACAGTTGGTCTCAATTCAATTTTTCCAGTTCCTGCCTAATGTTGTTATAATTGGCCTTCCCCAAATTTAGCACTTTCATCTGAGGACCAGTCTTTAGCTTATCCATAAAGACCTTAAAACTTATGGAATTATGATCGCTGTTCCCAAACTACTCCCTCACTGAAACTTCGATCACCTGGCCAGGCTGATTCCCCAAACTGAGCAAACTGATAGAGCAATGTGTTGATAAGTCTGTAGGTCCTGATAGAATGAAAGAGGTAGCTAATGAAATAGTGGACACGTGTTAATTCTCCAAAACTCATTAGATTCTAGAAAGGTTCCATCAGACTGGAAAGTAACAAACGCGACCCCTGTCTTTAGGAAGGGAGGGAGGCAGAAAGTAGGAAACTTTTTACAACTTATTTCAGTGGCTTAGATGAGGAGAACAAGGGCATGGTGACACAAACACGGGTCAGAAAGTGTATTGCGAAGATGACTTAACCTATCTATATCAACGCAAATCAATGGGCAAAAATCTGGCAGATGGAGTATAATGTGGAATTGTTCACTTTGGCAGGAAGAATAAAAAAGAAAGGTATTATTTAAATAGAAAACAACTGCAGAATGCTGAGGTACCGAGGGATTCAGAATTCTCACACCTGGCCCTTAAAGTGTTTTGTGTGCAGGTACAGCATTAAGAAGGCAAATGGAATACTATTCTTTATTACAAGAAGAATTAAACAGGACATTGTGGGACAATATTTAAATATTGTCTCTTATTTAAGGAAAGGCATAAATGTGTAGGATTTCTTAGTCCTGTCATTTGCAAGCTGCTTCCACAGTTTGGCATGCAAGTTATCCTGTATTGTGGCTTCACCAGGTTGACACTTCTTTAAAAAATATGCCTGAAGCTGTCCCTGGCATGCTGTTCTGCACTGTTCATTGATGCAGGGTTAAATGGATGGTAATGGTAGCTTGGAGGATATGCCAAGCCATGAGTTTATGGATTCTAGTTGAAGAGAGTTATGCTGCTGTTAGACCACAAGTACCCCATGTGGTCCAGTTTTCAGTTGCAAGATTTGATTGTAATCCATTCTGTTTAGCACAGTGATAGTGCCACACAGTATGGTGGAGGAAGCCCTCAAATTGAACATGGGACTTTGTCTCATGAAGGACTGAGCAATGGTTACTCCTACCTGTATTGTCATGGACAGACACATCAGGTAAATGGCAGTGGCTTTCATCCTCTTGTTGGTTCCCTCACCACCTTTCTCAGACCCAGACTAACAACAATATCCTTTAGGACTCAGCTAGTTCAGTCAATAGTGGTACTACTGAGCCTCTCAGTGATGGTCATTAAAGTCCCACTGACAGTATATCCTATTCCCTTGTCACCTTCAGTGGTACTTCCAATTGGTGTTCAACATGGAGGAGTACTAGTTCATCAGATGGGTTGGTGATAATCAGCAGGAGGTTTCCTTGCCTATGTTTGACTTGAGGGCATGAGATGCTGAAGACTTCTGAAGACTCCCAGAGCAACTTTCTCTGATCACACCACTGTTTTTCCACCTCTGGTTGTTCTGTCGTGCTGTCTGACGGAACATACCAGGGAAGGTGATGGTGGTTTTTGGACATTATCTGTAAGCTATTAGTACATGAGAATGACTAGGTCAGGCTGTTTGCCATCTTGTCTGTGGGCCAGCTTTCCCAATAGTGTCAACAGGACTAGAGTTTCCGCTTTGGTGCCTTGTTCAATGCTGAATGTCTGTCTGGTTTAATTCCGTTAGACTTTGTAGCGTTTTGATACAGTTGAATGGCTTACTAGGCTATTTCAGAGTGCATGTAAAAGTCAAGCACATTGCTATGGGTCCTGACTCTCACATAGGCCTGACTGGGAGTAAAAGACACTCATGAACCAGGTTGGTTTTTATGACAATTGACAGTAGTTTCATGATTACCATTAGATTAGCTTTTAATTACAAATTCATTTATTTATTTTAAAAATTGCAATATCTAATGAATAAATATCAATTTATTAATAATAAATCAATCCATTTATTAATTGAATTGACATTTTACCATCTGTCCAGGTGTGGTTTGATTCAGTGTGATTTGCAGAACATTAGCCTGTGTCTCTAGGTTAGCCCAGAGAGAATATTACCATGCCACCACTTCTAACTTTTGACGAAAAGGAAAATTGAAATTAGAAGTAAGTTAAAATAATAAGTAATGTCATATAATATATTCATCTCATTTTGTTTTTTAAACAGAAAAGGTATCTTTACCTGACATTGTCTTCAGCAGTAGCTGCATGAAGGGGTAGTCTTCCATTTTTATCTGGGATATTTTGCTTGGCACCATTACGGAGTAGAGTTACACAACCATCTAGCCAACCCTGAAAATGAAAGTATTTGTCAATTTGGTTTCCCCTATTTAATCATTGAGATGTATTTGGTTAGTAAGGGCGGTTAGTCAGATGGCTGAGTGTTGGTTTGGGAGTCAATTATACAATTATCTGCGCATTAGACTATGTGTTAATGTAGGGCATCCCAAACATTTTCCATCTGACTCCATTTTAATACCTCAGAGTTCATGCGACCCCACAGGTTCAGATGCTGAGCCGAGTTGGGGAAGTTAACTTCAGCTGCTGTGGTAGTCAGTGTTTAGCTTCTGAGCAGAGGGGGGGGTAGTTCAACATGGTGGAAATTGTTTAATCTTCCATTTTCATGAAACAAAAACAATTCACACAACTTGTTTGCAGCAGCAATGATGTCTCAAAACTCTATCCATTAAGCCACATACGCCAAATAACAAAATTAACGACTTAGAGTATCCTTGCATGCGTTAGCACTCTGTCTGAGCTCCAAGGCAACTATTGCTGACTCAGATCTCGAAGCTCCAAAATCATGTCTTGTAATCTCCACTGAGGAGATAACTAATGAAATGGAGGTTGGAATATTTGGTCCATTGATTCACTTTATCAAAATCTTAACATCTCACTGCATTAAATTTCTTCTTCCATTGGTCTTCTCATCCCACCACCCTATCAATGTTCATTTGCAACTGTACACTATCTCCTTTGTGATTCACCATAATTCCAAGTTCTATACCATCTTCAAATTTTTCTTTGTCCACCAATATCTAGATCATTACTGCATATCAGGAAGAACAGGGCTGCTAATACCAATCCCTGGGAAACTGCATGATGAATCTTTCTCCACTATGAAAAACATCATTTTCCACTGTTATCAGATTCTCCTGTTGCCTTAACCAATTCAATTTCCATTTCCTTGATGCCATTATTAAATGCCATTTGGAAGTCATATAAATAGAGAAGTTGGGACTGTTTTCCTTGGAAAGTAGATTTGATGCAGGTATTCAAAATCATCCTGAGCTGTTTTTCTTGACAGATTTTGTCTGAGCCAATGATCTATCTTCCGGCAGAATACTAATGGAATGGAATCAAATTCAAAATCACAAGGGCTTTGGACAGCATAGATGAGGATAAGTTGTTCCCATTTTGGTATCATTATGAATGAACGGGGACAACTTTATTTAAAATAATCACTAAAAGGAATGGTGGTATACTAGATCAACAACATTACCCTTATCAACTCTGTTATCTCATCAAAAATCTCAAGCAAGTTAATTTGCCATGACTTTTCCTTAACAACTCAATTCCAGCTTCCCGTAATTAAACATCATTTTTTCCAAACAACTATGAATTTTGTCCGAACTATTGGCCCAGATAAGAAGATCATCATTGCTGAAGAATATACTGGAGTTGTGCATTGTGACTATGCAGCAATCTTGCCGCAGCTAATTATGTGGGAATTGCCAGGAAAGTTGAAACTTCCAATGGTCAATTACTTAGCATCTGGAATCCTCTGAGACTGTCTTCAAATCAAGTCTTCACATGGCTCTGATTCGCTCATCTGAATAGTTCGCCAGAAAAGTTAGATGAATTAAAACCTGCTTAGGCTCTTAGCTAATGATAAAACTAACCTCCCAATAACGTATTCCAACTCCCAACGTTGACACCTAAGAGCCCCTCTCTCAAGCTTTCTCTCTGCTCTATACCCTACACACACCTCCCTGTTTATGTGTTTTCACATCTTCCTCCCTCGACCCAAACCAATATGCCTCCCATCACACCTGATCCTCCAACAGATCCAACCTGTCATTTCCCCACTTCCCATCTCCAGACCTGATCCGACTACCCTAATCTGATGAGATCCTAATCCATTTAGCTACAAAATCTCCTTATCCACCTTGCCATCCAAACCCCTGCCACCCTATTCACTCTACGCTTCCTGCAACATTGCCACCCTACCAAACTTGCACCCTGCACCAATTATCTCACCCTCACTTCTCTGCCAACTTAGCTGATTCACTTTCATTCATCAGTGCTCTAAAAGATTATTTAAATGTTCAACAGTTGTTTATTGAAATTTCAATATATTTCCAAGTCAGGATGACACTTGACTTGGAGGGGAATTTAATGATGGACTGCAGACATATGGCACACTATATCCTCCTAGGCTGCAGAGATCATGGATTTTGAAGGCACAGTCAAAAGAAACACAGGGGCAGGAATGGTTGTTGGATGTTCCGGGGTTTAGATGTTTCAAAAGAAATAGGGAGGGAGGTAAAAGAGGTGGGGGAGTGGCATTGCTAATCAGGGATGGTATCACAGCTGCAGAACGGGAGGTCATCGAGGAGGGTTTGTCTACTGAGTCAGTATGGGTGGAAGTCAGAAACAGGAAAGGAGCAGTCACTTTATTGGGAGTTTTCCATAGACCCCCCAGTAGCAACAGAGACACTGAGGAAGAGATTGGGAGGCAGATTTTGGAAAGGTGCAGAAGTAATAGAGTTGTTGTCATGGGTAACTTCAACTTCCCTAATATAGACTGGAACCCCTTAAGTACAAATAGTTTGGATGGAGCAGATTTTGTCAGGTATGTCCAGGAAGGATTTCTGAATCAATATGTAGATATGCCGACTAGAGGGGAGGCCATATTGGATTTGGCAAAGAACCAGGCCAGGTGTCAGATCTCTGAGTGGGAGAGCATTTTGGTGATAGTGATCACAACTCCCTGACCTTTACTGTGGTCATGGAGAGGGATAGGAGCAGACGTTATGGGAAAGTATTTAACTGGGGGAAGGTGAAATGCAATGCTGTTAGGCAAAAACTGCGGAGCATAAATTGGGAACAGATGTTCTCAGGGAAATGCACAACAGAAATGGAGGTTGTTTAGGGAGCACTGGCTACGAGTACTGGATAGATTTGTCCCACTGAGGCAAGGAAGGGATGGTAAGGTGAAGGAACCTTGGATGACAAGACATGTGGAACACCTAGTCAAGAGAAAGAAGGAAGCTTACTTAAGGTTGAAGGAACAAGGATTGGACAGGGTTCTAGAGGTCTACAAGGTAGCCAGGAAGGAATTGAAGAATGGACTTAGGAGAGCTAGAAGAGGATATGAAAAAGCCTTGGCCAATAGGATTAAGGAAAACTGCAATGAGTTCTATGCTTATGTGAGGAACAAGAGGATGGCCAGAGCGAGGGGAGGGCCGATCAGGGATAGTGGCGGAAACTTGTGCGCGGAGTCGGAGGAGGTAGGAGAGGTCCTTAATGAATAATTTGCTTCAATATTCACCAGTGAGAGGGACCTTGACGTTTGTGAGAACAGCATGAAATCGGCAGATACACTCGAACAGGTTGATGTTAGGAAGGAGGATGTGCGAAAAATTTTGAAAAACATGAGGATAGATAAGTCCCCTGGGCCAGACAGGATATACCCAAGGTTTCTACGGGAAGTGAGGGAAGAGATTGCTGCACCTTTGGCAATGATCTTTGCGTCCTCACTGTCCACTGGAACAGTACCGGATGATTGGAGGGTGGCAAATGTTATTCCCTTGTTCAAGAAAGGGAATAGGGATAATCCTGGGAATTACAGACCAGTCAGTCATATTTTTGTGGTGGGCAAATCATTGGAGAGGATTCTGAGAGATAGTATTTATGATTATTTGAAAAAGCACAGTTTGATTAGAAATAGTCAGCATGGATTTGTGAGGGGCAGGTCATGCCTCACAAGCCTTATTGAATTCTTTGAGGATGTGACAAAACACATTGAAGAAGGTAGAGAAGTGGTTGTGGTGTATATAGATTTTAGCAAGGCATTTGATAAGGTTCCCCATGGTAGGCTCATTCAGAAAGTAAGGAGGCATGGTATTCAGGGAAAGTTGGCTGTCTGGATACAGAATTGGCTGTCCAATAGAAGACAGAGGATGGTAGTAGTTGGAAAATATTCAGCCTGGAGCTCGGAGACCAGTGGTGTTCCGCAGGGATCTGTTCTGGGACCTCTGCTCTTTGTGATCTTTATAAATGACTTGGATGAGGAAGTGGGAAGGCGGGTTAGTAAGTTTGTCGATGATACAAAGGTTGGTGGAGTTGTGGATAGTGTGGAGGGCAGTTGTAGGTTGCAACAGGACATTGACAGGATGCAGAGCTGGGCAAAGGAGTGGCAGATGGAATTCAACCTGGAAAAAGAGTGAAGTGATTCATTTTGGAAGGTTGAATTTGAATGCAGAATACAGGGTTAATGGCAGGATTCTTGGCAGTGCGAAGGAACACAGGGATGTTGGGGTCCACGTCCATAGATCCCTCAAAGTTGCCACCCAAGTTGATAGGGTTGTAAAGAAGGCATATGGTGTGTTGGCTTTAATTGGCAGGGGAATTGAGTTTAAGAGCTGTGAGGTTATGCTGCAGCTGTATAAAACCCTGGTTAGACCACACTTGGAATATTGTGTTCAGTTTTTGTCGCCTCATTATAGGAAAGATGTGGAAGCTTTAGAGAGGGTGTAGAGGAGATTTACCAGGATACTGCCTGGTCTGGAGGGCAGGTCTTATGAGGAAAGGTTGAGGGAGCTAGGGCTTTTCTCATTGGAGTGAAGAAAGATGAGAGGTGACTTGATAGAGGTGTACAAGATGATGAGAGGCATAGATAGAGTGGATAGCCAGAGACTTTTTCCCAGGACAGAAATGACTGTTACGAGGGGGCATAATTTTAAGGTGATTGGAGGAAGGTATAGGGGAGATATCAGAGGTAGGTTCTTTACACAGAGAGTGGTGGGTGTGTGGAATGCGCTGCCAGCAGTGGTAGTGGAGTCAGATACATTAGGGACATTTAAGCGACTCTTGCACAGGCAAACGGATGATAGTAAAATGTAGGGTATGCAGGATAATTTGATTTTAGAGTAGGATGATAGGTTGGCACAACATTGCGGGCTGAAGGGTCTGTACTGTGCTGTACTGTTCTATGTTCTATACTGTGTGGGCTTCTGGAGTACATTTTGTATACCATTTACTCTGCCATTTGACAAGATCATGGCCAA